TTATGGAGGAGTGATAAGGGCCTGGAGGAATAAGCCAGTTTGAGGTTACCTTTATCATAAACAGCTATCTTATCTTTGCAGCCACAAGTGGATTTCTTAGACCAACACCATTCAGTAGAAATATAATGCAAGCCACATATGTGATTTATAATTTTCTAGTTTCCATATTTAAAAATAATAAATGAAATTAGTTTCACAGTATATTTAACAGTATATATTTATTTAATATAGGCAAAATATTTCAACTTGGAATCAGTTTTTAAATTGTTGAGATATTTTGCATGCTTTCTTTTTAGTAAGTCTTCTAAGTTTGCTGTGTTTTTTTTTTTTTTTAAGATTTTATTTATTTGACAGAGAGAGACACAGTGAGAGAGGGAACACAAGCAGGAGGAGTGGGAGAGGGAGAAGCAGGCTTCCCGCCGAGCAGGGAGCCTGATGCGGGGCTCGATCCCAGGACCCTGGGACCATGACCTGAGCCGAAGGCAGACGCTCAACGACTGAGCCACCCGGGCGCCCCTTGCTGTGTGTTTTATACTTAGCACATCTCAGTCTGCAGTAGCTCCATTTTCAGTGCTCAGTAGTGCCCGTGTGGCTAGTAGCTGCCGTACCGGACAGCACAGTGTTAGCACGGTGCGTGTAAGGAGGCAGCTGGAGGTGAGGCTGCAGGAGCAAAGTAGGAAGGCTTTCATCTGTCAAACCAGGAGTCGGAGCTTTACCCTGAAGGCTATGGGAGCCATCAAAGGATCTTAGGCAGAGAAGTGTTTTTAATTTTGAACTTAATCTGGTGGTCTCAGAGAATAGAGATTCAGGAGTGGGGGCTCAAGCAAGAAGTATGCTAGAAGGCTATTGTTGTCTAAGTGAGGAGTGATAGGAACCTAAACTAAGGCAACCCTCCCTCGGGTCCCCTCCCTCTTCAGGAGCTTTGTACTATCACTTTACCATCACTCAATAAACCTTGCTTTGCTGCCCGCAAAAAAAGAAAAAAGAAAAAAAAGAGGAACCTAAACTAAAACACGGGGAACAAAGACCAAAGGAAGTGTGTCTAAGAAGGGTAGGAGGTAAGATCATCAGAATTTAGGTAGGGGTGACTCTGGATCTTGGGGAACAGAGAGGGAGTAATTTAGGGTGGTTATCTAGTTTCTCCCTTGGGTAGTTGGGCCAACAGTAGTAGTGTTACCTGAAATGGAGGGAGGGCAGGTTGTGAGGGGGAGAGGAGTTCAGCATGGGGCATGGTGGCTTTGAGATGTCTTTGGAACAGGCAAGTGGATGGGTCTAGTTTGACATGTAAGAGTTGACACAAGAGAATGCGTCGCCTTAGAAGCTAGAAAGGCTGGGTAGGAATAGTCAGTACTTAAGCTGCCAATGAAAACATTAGGCAGTGACAAGAAGGGGATGTAAGACAGAGATAATCAAGGACAGCTTTATAGAAAAGGTGGGATTTGAGCAGTCTTAAAGAAACAGTCAACAAAACCAAAAGACAACCGACAGAATGGGAGAAGATATTTGCAAATGACATGTCAGATAAAGGGCTAGTATCCAAAATCTATAAAGAACTTCTCAAACTCAACACCCAAAGAACAAATGATCCAATCAAGAAATGGGCAGAAGACATGAACAGACATTTTTCCAAAGAAGACACCCAAATGGCCAACAGACACATGAAAAAGTGCTCAACATCGCTCGGCATCATGGAAATCCAAATCAAAACCTCAGTGAGATACCACCTCACACCAGTCAGAATGGCTAAAATTAACAAGTCAGGGAACGACAGATGTTGGCGGGGATGCGGAAAAAGGGGAACCCTCCTACACTGTTGGTGGGAATGCAAGCTGGTGCAGCCACTCTGGAAAACAGTATGGAGGTTCCTCAAAAAATTGAAAATAGAGCTGCCCTACGACCCAGCAATTGCACTACTGGGTATTTACCCCAGAGATACAAATGTAGTGATCCAAAGGGGTACGTGCACCCCGATGTTTATAGCAGCAATGTCCACAATAGCCAAACTATAGAAAGAGCCAAGATGTCCATCAACAGATGAATGGATAAAGAAGATGTAGTATATATATACAATGGAATATTATGCAGCCATCAAAAGGAATGAAATCTTACCATTTGCAACGACGTGGATAGAACTGGAGGGTATTATGCTGAGCGAAATAAGTCAATCAGAGAAAGACATGTATCATGATCTCACTGATATGAGGAATTCTTAATCTCAGGAAACAAACTGAGGGTTGCTGGAGTGATGGGGGGTGGGAGGGATGGGGTGGCTGAGTGATAGACATTGGGGAGGGTATGTGCTATGGTGAGCGCTGTGAATTGTGTAAGACTGTTGGCTCATGGACCTCTACCTCTGAAACAAATAATACATTATATGTTTAAAAAAAACAAGAAGAAGATAGCAGGAAGGGAAAAATGAAGGGGGGTGGGAATTGGAGGGGTAGACGAACCATGAGAGACTATGGACTCTGAGAAACAAACTGAGGGTTCTAGAGGGGAAGGGGGTGGGGGGATGGGTTAGCCCGGTGATGGGTATTAAATGCACGTACTGCATGGAGCACTGGGTGTTATACACAAACAATGAATCATGGAACACTACATCAAAAACTAATGATGTAATGTATGGTGATTAACATAACATAATAAAAAAAAAAGGAAAGAGGGGCGCCTGGGTGGCTCAGCCAGTTAAGCGACTGCCTTCGGCTCAGGTCATGATCCTGGAGTCCCGGGATCGAGTCCCGCATCGGGCTCCCTGCTCGGCGGGGAGTCTGCTTCTCCCTCTGACCCTCCCCCCTCTCATGTGCTTGCTCTCTCTCATTCTCTCTCAAATAAATAAAATCTTAAAAAAAAAAAAAAAGGAAAGAAAGAATGGGTGGGATTCAGAAAGTCAAAGAAGATGGAAGAGGTAGCAGAAATGTAGAGGTAAGAAAGTGTGAGATGTGTTTAAGCGACACCGAATAAACCTGTCCTGCTGGGCCAGATAGGATTAGGGCTAAGATCAAAGCCGGCCTAATGCAGTTTGCAGGCATGTTTTGTTTGGCTTGCATGGGGTTAGATCATGCCAGGTTCTAAATTTAAGGTAGGTGCCAACATTTCCACACAAAAAAATTTCTGACTTTCCTTTAAAAGAAAAGGGGGCTGGGAGATAGACTTGGCAACATGGTGGTCCTATATGGTAATAATCAACTTAAGTATGTGCTCCCTCTCCCCAACAAGTCTGTTTCACTCCTTAATGTTACTTGCCTGAGTCCTGTAGACATTTGCATTTTCTGCTTTTGAGTTGAGGATCAGTAGGTAATAAAGGCAAAAAGATAGACTGGTAACAGGTTATGAAGGGCTTTTAATACCAAAGTAAAGAATATAAATATAGGTGTTGGCATATCCAAGCGGGCATAAAAATGCAAAATGGAAGTCTCTTAAGGGGATGTCATTCATCCCTGAAGGCTACTAGGATCCCCTGGGAACATCAGGCCATTGAACTTGCTGGGTGATTTGCTTTGCAGGCTTCTGGAATTCAGGCCAAAGTTTGATGTAGGGAACAGTAAGTCTGATTGTTTCAAACAACTGTTTGGATTTGTTAAAACATCTCTGTGATTTCAGAGAAAACAGTAGGAGTACAGACATGCTTTTTATCCTTACTGTGAGAACACAGATGATCATTGAGAGAATGGAAGTGCTAAGATAGGGGTGACACTTAGGGGCTGTGGAGCAAAGCTTATGCTAGTGGGTGCTGAGTTGCATGTTTTATCACCCAGGATAACACCTGCCTGGTCACACTGCCTTTTAAAACATTGTCAGGTGCCCGTTTTACAGTCACTGTCCTAGGTACAGTGTAAATTAAGGGAAAAAGGTCCTTTAAAAAAGGCTAAAATTAATATACAGCAAGAGTACAAGCCAGGGCGCCTGGGTGGCTCAGTTGGTTAAGCAACTGCCTTCGGCTCAGGTCATGATCCTGGAGTCCTGGGATCGAGTCCCACATCGGTCTCCCTGCTCAACAGGGAATCTGCTTCTCCCTCTGACCCTCCCTCCTCTCATGCACTCTTTCTCATTCTTGCTCTCTCAAATAAATAAATAAATAAATCTTTAAAAAAAAAAAGAGTACAAGCCAGGAAGAGAGGGAGAAGCAGGCCCCCCGTGGAGCAGGGAGCCCGACGTGGGGCTCCATCCCAGGACTCTGGGATCATGACCTGAGCCGAAGGCAGATGCTTAACCGACTGAACTACCCAGGCGTCCCCTAAAATTACTATCTAATCATTATTAACTGTGTCGGTCACTATTCTAAGTTCTTTAGACAGATATTTTACTTTAATCCTCATAACCACCTTCTTGAGGTACTGTTGCTATCTCCATTTTATAGACAAGGAAACTGAGGACGTACAGGTTAAGACCTTACTCAGGGTCATCAGGCTGCTAAGGGATGGACCCTAGACTTGAACCCAGGCAGTCTCTCTAAGAGGCTTTTCTCCTAAGTGCTGTGTTCAGCTGCCTCTGGATCTGTCCGTTTTGATGGCACACGGGCAGATTCACAGGTAGGGACCCTTACGCTCTCAGCCTGGAAGCTCCGGGACAGCTTATTTCAGGGCTGTCAGTTTGGGTCAGGTTCTCCAAGAAGATATGAAACTGCCTTAAATTGCCTTTAAGAGAGCAGATAATTGGGTCCTTAGGTGACCTTGAGAGAGCAAGGTTGTCTGGTATGTTTAAAGTATGTTCTCTTCCTTTAGCTAATGGCTCAATGTCAACTTAGAAAATGTGTGTTGGTAATGCGTTTTTGAAGTAAGACCTCGCATAAGGATTCTTGTTTCTCTTATGCAAGCTAAATCACGTTAGCCTTGTCTTCATATGTTCTGATGAAAAATTCTCACAGAAGAAATTTTATAAATATTTGAATTTGGAAGGGGGTGAGAGTCCATAACATTGTGGAGACACAAAGGCATTTTGTGTCAAAACTTGTCAATTTTTCCTACCGTATTTAGTGTTGCCTCTTTCTCTTTGGTCCACAGATGAAACATGTGAATGAAAGATTTCAAGATGGAAAAAATAAAGAGGTGGTTCTCATGTGCATTGGCATCACTTCAGGGGTTGGACGGCTGCTCTTTGGCAGGATTGCAGATTATGTGCCTGGTGTGAAGAAGGTTTATCTTCAGGTACTTTCTTAAGCCACTTTTCCCCCAGCAAAATTATCTTTATCTCCTCATGTCTCGTTTTATATATTTATTTGCTTAAATTCTTCTGTAAAAATGACAGATACTTTCTGGAACCTAACTTCTACCAGCAGTTTTTCAAGGGCAAAATCGGTTATGAGTTTTGGGTTTTCAGCATGGGACATTGGCGATCAAACAATCTTACTTGTTTTGTCATGGAACTCCACCAAATCAGAATGTTTTTTGCCCATTGCTTTTCCTAAGAAGAATGTTTTATTTTTGGCACAGTTCTCACAGTCCTGCGCCTTTTGCAATACCTTTTGAAGTTTATGGGGGTGTGTTTCTTCTGAACTCCTTACTGCAGATTGCCTCCTGGGTGTTGAGAGGTGTGCACTAAACCAATGCTAATTCCAAGATCCTACTGACACTCATTTGATAAGTTCTTAAATGACTCCTCCCTGCTAGACGCTGGGCTGAATGCTGCAGATGAAGCATGAAACATGATCTGTGCCCTCAGTTAGTAGCTAATGGTCTCATGGGTAGACAGATAACAGTGTTGCAGCACATTGGAATAATGACCATTCGAGATGGGTGCCATAGAAACGTAGGCTCCAAACATCTGAATCACTAGCGAGGGTCTGAGCAGGCTTCCTGGGCTGGTGGGCCGTTAAGAGGTGAGCGGTAGTCAGATAGCTGAAGCAGAGAAGTGTGTTCCAGGCCGAGGAAACCACATGGACAGGGAGGTGGAGGTGTGACACAGTATATTATGTCTGGGAAACTGAACAAAAGGAGAGATAAAGGGAATGGAGGGAGAGGCTCAGGAGCCAGGTTAGGAAGAGGATGAACACTATCCTGAAATCTACCAGGAGCCATGAGAGGGTTTTAACCAAGGAAGTGACACGATAGGAGTTGTATTTTATTAAGCTTAATCCAGGAACTGTGTAGGGTGGAATGAAGTGGAGGAGGGGCAAGAGTGCAGACGGTCCCAGAAAGCTACATACTGTATAGCTCCCTTTCTGGGAAGTGGCCAGAATGGGCAGCGCCACGAGACAAAGTAGATTTGTGGTTGCCTGGGGCTGGGGGAGGAGGTGGTGGGGTAACTGCTACAGGGTATGGGGATCCTTTTTGGGGTGATACAAATATTCTAAAATTAGGCATTAGTGATGGTGGTATGACTTTGTTAACTCAGGCCCACTCATTATGAATTTATTATCTCAATAAAGCTGTTGTTTAAAAAAAGTGGAGGCAGAGAGACTAGTTGGAGACTGTTGAAGTAGTCTAGGCAGGAGGAACCAAGGCAGAAACATTGGAATCAGACAGGGTGTAAAATAGGGATATTGGGAATGAGAGTTTGATGGAGCCACCTCAGCTGGGTCTGAGATTTGTGGCTCCCATCAGAGTGGATGGTTGTGCTGTTTCATTAAGATCAATAATTCAGTAATGGAGTAAGATGCTCAGTTCATTGTTGCCATTTTAAATTTGTGGGGTTTGTGGGAAAGCCGGGTTTGGAGCTCCTGAGAGAGTCTCAGAGACCCGTGGGACTTCGGCATCCATGGGCTGTATGGCGGGAGCGGAGGAGCGGGGTGTGCAGCGGAGAATGGAAGGGGTGCCCAGACTGGTGGGAAGGAAGCAGGGCACAGAGTGTTTTCAGAGACAGGAGTGGTCAGCAGTGTTGGCAGCTAGTGAGAGGGCAAGCACATTAAAGACTAAAAGGTTTTCACTGGATTTAGCTGCAGAGTTTCACTGGAGTGGCAGGTGCTAAAGATGGATCATGATCACTGAGTAGGTGGCCATGTGGACTACTTTGCCCAAAAGCTTGGCTCTGAAGGGAAGGTGAAGGGGAGCCCCGGGAGGGGGCAGTTAGAGATTGGGGCAGTGAGTGTGTCTCCTCACTCTGTAGATGGGAGGCAGTATTTGGGTTGGGTCTTGAAGGAGAAGTGGGATTTGGGTGCAGGAAAATAATTGGAAAAGGCATTTACTACAGATATAGTAACTTCCATTGATTGATTTGAAAAAACAGCATCCACCCTTTACTGAGTACTTCCATGTGCCAGACGTGCATTCTCTGGTATTCCTCACCCCAGCCCTCTGACGACGGTATCGTGGTCACTTGTACTTAGAGGTGTGAACCCTGAGGAACAGAGAGGCGGCCTCACTGTGGGTGTCTGTGTGTAGGTCCCAGCAGACAGCTGCAGAAAGGAGCCTGGGCATATGGGGGAAGGAAGTGTCCATAGCTGGTAGAGTGGTACTTTTGAAAGCATTTACTGTATTATGATCATTCCCCTTTTATTAGGACCCAGCTGTGAATATTGTTGTGGATCAGTTGGTCTTCTTCTCAAGGGTCAAGAGAACCCTCTAATGGACACTTGTTGCATTACAGACTTTCAGCTTCCTTTCATTCTTTCCAGAGATTGTGTCTACTCTGCTCTAGGCTAGACCTTGGCGGGGTGATGCACACACGACGTGCGTGGCCCCCCTGAGTTCCTGGAGCAAAACTGGGGGCAGGAAAAATGAAGAACTCAAGAAGACAGGGAGAGTGACATGGGAAGAGGTTGGAAAGTTAGGAAGGGCCAGATTATACAGGACCTTAAAAGCCAAAATGAAGAGATTTTACTTTAAGTGTAGTGGGTCTTTGTTGGAGAATGACGTGGTCTGATTTCACATTTTTTTTTAAAGCTATATTTATTTGATTCGGGGCAGAGGGAGAGAATCTCAAGGAGACTTCCCACTGAGCGTGGAGCCCAACACAGGGCTCAATCTCACGACCCTGAGATCATGACCTTAGCCGAAATCAAGAGTCAGGCGCCCCTGATTTCACATTTTATTTTTTATTTTATTTTTTTAAAAGATTTTATTTATTTTTTTTGAGAGAGCGGGAGCATGAGCAGGGGGAGGGACAGAGGGAGAAGAGGCTCTCTGCTGAGCAGGGAGCCCGATGCGGGGCTCGATCCCAGGAGCCTGGGATCATGACCTGAGCCGAAGGCAGACGCCTAACAACTGAGCCACCCAGGTGCCCCCTGATTTCACATTTTAAAGTCACTGTGATTGTATGTGGAGGAGAGATTCCTGGGCTAGAAGCAGTAATCCCTTCTCCACAGTAGTGTGTGCTGAGTCACAGTGAGGGGTTGCATTTCCGAGAGGCCTGTGAAGGAGGCAGAAGGCCTTCCGTGGGCCGTGTGGCTGTGGGGGGCCACCAGCGGGCCCCGCCTGTGAACAGAGTGCCACAGGCCCAACCCATGTGGACTCGCTCCTTTATATCACTCCCCGCCTCTGTCTCTCCTTTTTCCTGGCTCCTCTGCCCAACTCCCAACCGTTCAGTGTGGTTTTTGGTTCTTGGCTGTTCTCTGCTGCAGCCAACTCCAGCTCTGCCTGTTTGCTTATTCCCACTGTTCTTTCCCTCGCTGGCTGGCTGCCTTTTGGCCTCGCCTCTGAGAGCTGGAGCTCCCACTGCTTACCTTCCTTACCTTCTCGTCCCTGGTGGTGCGGACATACCTGCTCCCTGCTCTTGTCTGTGACAGCCTAACCTCACGGGGCTGTGACGGTTCTCTCCCCTCCCCGTCTCCTAGCAGCTGGGCACAGAACACACTTCACGACCTCCCACATGGTCTCATTTCTGGTCACAGTCATCTTGGGTCTGGGAGGCTGCAGAGCAGAAAAGCACAGGCTCTGGAGTGAGACATGATTTCACCCCAGTTCTTGTCACCAGCTGTCTCCAGAACCGGCCAAGGGCTGCGGTGAGGATTCATAGTGACAACTTATGTAAAGTGTCGGCCCAGAGTGCATGATTAATAAATCCTTCCTTTGATTATGTTTTAATAGTCTATCAAATACTGAAGCAGATCCTGATTTGGAACAGGTCTCAAGAAAGGAGACCTTGGTTATCCCGAACTAGACATCTTTGCTTATAATTTTTTTAAAGTAATCTGTACACCCAACATGGGGCTCAAACTCACAACCCTGAGATCAAGAGTTGCATGCTTTACCAGGTGAGCCAGCCAGGTGCCCCAGAGACCTTTGCTGATAGATAGACTCAACTTTTTGTTCAGGAGTCTCACGCTTTTGCTTCAGAGTTCTGAATGTAAACTCTGTCAAGGTCCTGGTTTCCAGGTATTTTCAGCCTAACCGTTTTAAATGCTGAGCAAAGAGATGACTAACTGCATTATATGGAATAATAATGGTTAAAGGCTTTCTGCTCTGGGTTCCTAGCTAGAAAAATCTGGAAACTTTATAGTGAATAAATTTGTAGGAGCAACACTTGAATCTAACTGTGGCCAGTTGTGTGTCTGCCTCTGAAAATGCCTTCTGCTTATTCACATGCAGCTCATTTTTCTTCTTGAGCTATACTTAGATTCCTGAGCAAAACTTAAACACATTTCTCCAAGAATGTTTTTTGTGATAGAAATGGGGAAGGATAACAACAACAACAAAAAAAAAACAATTTTTTTTGTTCTTTAAGTATGTAAACTAACTTAAGCAAGGGGTTCTATAATAGAACCTATAATATTGTGACAGAAGATATTTCCTTGGATGATTTTAAGAAAACAAAAGCAGGAAATACACCTCAACAGTGCCAGAGGCTAGAAGAGAATTAGGGACCTTTGAATACCTCATTTAAATCCAACCAGAGCTGCTATGTTTGAGGAGGGGAAAGAAGATTGTAGTAATATTAAATTTATTTATCTTTCAAACTGGAGCCCAGTATTTACAAATCAATATTTGATGTATGGATCAATATTTATTTGGGGAAGTGATGAAGTACAGAAACTCCCGTATGAACAGTTCACCAGCTATTTTCTGAGAGAGACTAAAGGATAAATGTGTAAATGCCTTTGAACTCAATTCTTAATGAAAAACCAAGAAATTTTACTTTTAAATAACAATTTCTATTTAAGTTATTAAAACTTAACAATTTTGAATAAAAACTAGTAATTATTGTCAAATAATTGAAAAGAGAGAATATAGTTAATATAGTTTTACCTATAGTTTATAGGAGAACTCGTAGTCAGGTAAAGTATTAAGAAATTATAAGCTCAAATATATAGTAATAAATTTGAAAGGTGGGGAGGGGCAGAGGGAGAGGGAAAGAGAGAATCTTAAGCAGACTTCACGCCCAGTGCAGAGCCCAGCCGACATGGGGCTGGATCTCATGACCCTGAGATCGTAACTTGAGCCAAATCAAGAGTCGGATGCTTAACTGACTGAACCACTAGACACCCCTAAATCTGAAACTCTTAAGTTTTTTTTAAGATTTATTTGGCAGAGAGAGCACAAGCAGGGGGAGCAGCAGGCAGAAGGAGAGGGAGAAGCAGGCCTCCCGCCAAGCAAGGAGCCCAGTGTGAGGCCCGATCCCAGGACCCTGGGATCCTGACCTGAGCCGAAGGCAGACGTTTAACTGGCTGAGCCACCCAGGCGCCCTGAGTGAATTATTTTTTACAAAACTAACCAAAGAACAAAAACTGGAAGGGGCCAAAAATGTATAGAAAAATCAGGATAACTACCAGAAGTAAAGCACCTGGGTCACATGTTATGTAAATTTGTCCGAGAAAAACATTCATTTATTGAGCGCAATTGACTTGGTGCCAAGTAGTGTGCTAGGCTTTCAATAATTCACTCTGGTTCTCTTATCTTGGGAGAGTTTTTACTGAACAAAATAGTAAAAGAATAGGAAACATATTCAAAGGAAAAAATATTCTTGAAAGGTAACCTAGTGTAGTTACAGTGGCATGGTTGGGAATGTTTGGTCGGTGGCTTTACCAGTTAAATCCATGGAGTGTGGCCCCACAATGTCCTGAAGTTTTATTCTAGATTCTCTGGAGTTTGTGATAATAGATGAGTTTCCAAGATTCAAATGACTTTCCATGTTTTTCTGCTTTTGTGTTTGTAGGTAGAGTTAAAAATGTATGTATAATTAAGACAATTAAAGTGTGGTTAGTTTATCAATGACAGTACTCCTTGTCATTTACCTACTTGTGATTTCAAATCACTTTCTACTTTCTATTTATTTTTAGATCTTTTTGTATAGATGGGAAACATCGGGAAGCCTTTTTACTTGCTCAAGGTCACAGAGAGCTGGAACCTGGTCTTGTTCCTCTGAACCTTAGTTCTTTCCAACCTACCAGGCTGCAAGCCCACTAATTACCCATGCAAAGAAATTATGCATGTGTTTTCACTGAAGTTGGGTTGGAGAAAATGTTTAAGTAGAAAATAAAAAGGGGCACCTGGGTGGCTCAGTCGGTTAAGTGTCTGCCTTCAGCTCAGGTTATGATCCCTGCTTTTCCCTCTTCTTCTCCTTCTGCGCCACCCCCCCCACTCATGCTCTCCCCCCTCTCTCACAAATGAATAAATAAAATCTTTAACCAAAAAAAAAGAAAAAAAAATCAGGAGAATGGGAGATTGTGTTCTTTAGAAAATGTGAAGTGCCAGACTTTTCCAATAACTAACTCAGAGTCTTAAACTAATAATTATACCATAAAGTCATATTTTAATAGTGAGGAAGACAAATGCACTCAGCTGTATGGGATGATGGTGTCAAAAAGAGACCCAACCTGGAGTTTGACACTTTTTCAAGAGCATGTTTCTTACTGTGGGGTCCGTGGACCACTTGCGTCCCGGTCAGCTGGAGAGCTCGGCACTGCTGCTGTTCCTTCATCCCTGCACTCCTCCGCAGCAGGAAATCCTGACCCCTGGGAGGTTGTGCGCGGCTGCCCTGAGGCGAGCACCCAAGCTTGGTGGGCCCGGTGGGCCCTCGGAAAAACCGGAGAAGATGGTGATCCAGATGGCTGCTTTGTATGCTCTCTCCTTTCCTCCCCCGGCCCCTCGTCATTGGAGGTACCCTCTGGGAGCAGTTCCTCCTGCTCGCTGCTACCGCCTGTGCAGACCAAGGGTTCCCGGGTGGGCACATTTAGGCACAGTACTGAACGTCTCCCAGCATCACTGTCTGCAGCTATAAAATGGGCATCACATTAGTACCCACCTCATAAAGTTGTTAGGAGATCGTTAGCTAACGTGCTTGGAACAGTGCCTGGCATCTAATAAACACTAAGTAAATGATAGCTGCTATTGTACGCGTATTTTTAAAAAGGCTGATGCTTTTTGAAACATTTCTTCTGCTGACTAGTGAACTGTCAAGTTTTATTTAGTTCTTTGCCTAAAAAAGTTACTGAATTGCCTGCTCCCTTTTTGCACCCACCGTACTTTGAATATACAACTGTGGCAACATCTAGAACACTTGATGTGCGCTCGTCTTCCATGTTTGTCCCCCCACAACCCAAGGGTAGGAACCAGGGCTTATTCACGTGGCATAGTATACAGCACAGAGCACAGAAACTACCCAATGGCAGGCAAAATCAAGAGTCTGGTTGTATTAACTACTCTACTGTTAAATGAACGTGTTCCGTGGCTCAGAATATTTCTCAGCCTTAACTCTGGGTGCTTAAATAGGGTATATCTGTGCTGGATCACCAGAAGACAGTGTTTGAAAATATCATTTGATAATCAGATTGATTTACATTATCAAGTAAAATTGGGTTACATAATTTAGCTCTTAGGATGTTCTAGTAGAATATGTTTATGTTTTCATTTGCATATTATATACATATTTCCTATGGCAGTCAAAACTTAATTGGAATTTGAATAATCAAAATTCAGTACATATTTATGTAATATACATAGTTACTTATTTTAATCTCTCACTTGGTCTGCATATCTGGAATATGTCTGGAATATTGGCAGGCAACATATTCTAAATTATTTAAATAGCTAAACCTTCCGTCATCGTATTCCCCAAGCTGGAAGCTCTGTGATATGAAGTACTGATCTTGCTGGCATATTATCCTTTTGCAAAGGACTAACACCAGTAGAGTATATACAATTTCAAAATCGGATGTTTGATGAATGAATTTGAGCTGATTCTCAAAGAACAAATATTTATTGAGTACTGACCAGGTGTAAGATTCTTAAACCTTAGATTATCTAGTCCAAAGATGACTTTTGTACAGATTCTGACTTCAAAGAACTTACAGGCTGGAAGGGAAAGTAAGTATGTAAAAATACTTATTTTATTCTTGTCCCTTTATGGAAATTTTGAGAAAGTGCTAGGGGAACTTAGGGGAGATGATTATGGGAGTTGATTATATATATAAAATCAAGGTGGATTGGGCCAGGGAGGCAACTAACCAATAGTCGGCCCAAAGTCCTAAGCGTGTTGCTCAGTAATTGTAACACTCACTTTTCCTGAGAGCAGAGTTGACATTGTGCTGTCTTGTCCTAGGTACTCTCCTTTCTCTTCATTGGTCTGATGTCCATGATGATTCCCCTATGTAGGGTCTTTGGGGCCCTCATTGCTGTCTGTCTCATCATGGGTCTCTTCGATGGATGCTTCATTTCCATTATGGCCCCCATTGCCTTTGAGTTAGTTGGCCCCCAGGATGTTTCTCAAGCAATTGGATTTCTACTTGGATTCATGTCTATACCCATGACTGTCGGCCCACCTATTGCAGGTAAATATAATGATTCTCTAGTAATTTACTAGATGGAAAATATATTACGATTTTTTGGTTACCATTCTTTTGCTTTTGTGTGTGCCTTACTGATAACATTTTTAATAAGACCAGCCTTGGATGACATATTGAAAAAGTTTGCTGAGGAGTCCCTCTTCTCCTTATTGGTAACATAACACACTCTATAACATGTTTAATTGTAAGCTTTTGGGCTTTAAGCTTTCACAATTGCTATATTTCATTTAGTATGTGTTTTTGAGAAATGGAAACATGGCTGCTTTTTAAAAAGAGATGAAGATTCTGAAAGATTTCTAAATATGTATGCTTTGTGTAAGAGATCATATCCCCCCCCCCCAGAAATAATTAATGGAAAATACCATTTACTGGAAACAACTCAAATGTCCATCAATGGATGAATGGATAAACAGAATGTGGTGTAGCTATACAATGGGATATTAGTCAGCCGTAAAAAGGCAGGAAGTACTGTACCAATACATGCCACCAGGTGGATGAACCTTGAGAACATTATGCTAAGTGAAAGAAGCCAAATACAAAAGGTCACATACTGTAAGATTTTATTTATATGAATTATCCGGAATAGCTAAGTCCATAGAGGCAAAGAGCAGATTGGTGGTTTCCAGGGGCTGGAAGGAGGGGGATTAGGGAATAACTAACTGCTTAATGGGTATGGCATTCCCTTCTGGTGTGATCAAAATATTTTGGGACTAGATAGAGGTGGTGGTTGTACAACATTGTGAATGTGGTAAATGCCACAGAAATGGTTAATTTTATGTTGTATGAATTTCACCTTTAGAAAACTTCTGAATAGTATAAAGGTGCCTCATGTTCAATATTACTTGGGTGCCAATCTGCGTCACTAGATTTGATACAACTAGGATAAAATTCAAATGTATGTATTGTCATCTGAGTCTGGCATGTGAGGGGCTCAGTGAAAGTTCATTCTTATGTCCAGAACCAACACGTCTAGCAACTTTGCGAACTGGGAACCTAGTCATGAACAAGCACGCAGTCACTGAAGGTCACAGACTCCCTGTGGGAGAACCCTCCAGCCCTTCCCCTGTCCCCCAGGTAATACACTACTTACACTATTTTTACACCTTACAAGCTTAGATTTTTAGGGTTTCCACGTCTACAGCAGATTATAAGCCGCACTTTGGTAGGCATGGTGTTTGCAACTAGAAATAACTGAGAACAGACCAATGACAAGGGAGATAACTGGAAACTTCCGAAGTTAGGCAGAAAGCTCTTGGCTCACCAGGAGGTTCTGAGGGATCACAGGATTATAGCCAGACATGATAATTAGTGTTCAGAGGAGGAAGGGTTTAGTTATATACAGAATATTCTGATTCAGAAGATAAGAAAGTTGTATCTATATATTGTATATTTTAGATTTCTGTCTAGAATAAATGTACACCTTTTTAATGTGTCAGTACTTAATTGGACAAATTCTCAGCTGTTTATTGCAAAAAGTCTGATACTCAATTCAGTGTGTTCCCTGGACATTTCAGATAGGTGAGGTTTTATAGTAAGAGTTACAAAAGTTTAAAAACACTAAGATAACTTTTAAAATCTGGGTTTTGTGGGGTGCCTGGCTGGCTCAGTTGGTAGAGCCTGTGACTCTTGATCTCAGCATTGGGAGTTCAAGCCCCATGTTGGGTGTAGAGATTACTTAAGAAATAAAATCTTTAAAAAAAAATCTGGATTTTGTTAGAGAAATTAGAAACAAGGAGTATTCTGAATAACAGTTTTAAGAAGCAGAGCCCAAGGATCTATCAGAGTGCCAAACATTTTACTCCCATGTGCTGACAAGTATATTTAACAAAACTTTTTCATCTTAACTCTCAGATTTATAATTTTTCATGATTTTGAATTCTGATTTTAAATAGTTTCATGTTATTTCATAAACAAATAGGCCCAAGAAGGTTTGTTTGACATGTAGACACTGTGAGGTATGTATGTGTGTATGAGAGAAGTTTCAGCTTGGTAGTTTATCCACCTTCCCCTGAAATAAGGACCGTTATACCCTGGGTCAGAATACCCCAAAGCCCTTTGGTTTTGAAAAAGCCAAAGCTTGGTTACAAATATTTTTTCCATGTAATATCTTGGTACGCAAACCCGTAGGCCTGTAGTCTGTGATAAGATTAAAGATCTAAGATCTTTTCCTTTCTCATATCAGAAAAGGTTTATACTTCAGACCCATTTCCTAAGAAATGTGTGACTGATCTGAGACCCCTAAGAGCCACCCTTCTTCTCTCTTGGTGACAGTTTTTTCCCTTCCCAGGGTTACTTCGTGACAAGCTGGGCTCCTATGATGTGGCATTCTACCTCGCTGGAATCCCTCCCCTTATTGGAGGTGCTGTCCTTTGTTTTATCCCCTGGATCCACAGTAAGAAGCAAAGAGAGATTGACAAAACCACCGGAGGAGAAAAGATGGAGAAAATGTTGGAGAATCAGAACTCTCTGTTGCCAAACTCACCTGGAATCTTTAAGAAAGAATCTGACTCTGTTATTTAATGTCTTATATACCTCCACCAGACTGAACTTGCTTTCAGAAGTTTAAGCAAGTTTTCCTTTTATATAAATTGCAGATTTCTTATTTTTTTAATCTCATCCTAAGACTAGCACAATAATTGGGAACTAGAACGCTTATTACTACAAGAACCATATTCTGCCACTGAATAGCTAGCTGTCTGGTATTTCCATGAGTGTGGGGGCAGAGAGTCTGGTATATGAAAACTTCCGTCGGAAAGTCAAATATTGTGAGCATTGATGCTATCTCAGTAAAAAGCAACTCTGGAAACTGTGAATGCTAATAAGCTTGTACAAATATTTAAAAATACCTCAAGCTATAATGAAAGGGTTGCAATTTGGTTAGGACTGGAACTGTGTTTGTTGTCTCACGTGATGTTTTTAATTCTGGTATCTCTGTTTTAATTTCTTCTGCTGTTTGGAAACTTTTTACAAGATTCAAGCCTGGATTCTAGATAATGTCAGACCTACCAAAACCTCAAGTCTGTGTTAAAGCTGCTTGCCTGCTCTTAACTAGGATCTGAGGTTAAGTTCTTCTGCCTTGCTCCGGTGTCCGGGGGGCTTCTGGGAGAGATGGCAGCGCTGTGTCGGCATTCAGAGCACGGCGCGGAAGGGATCACGGTCGTAAGGGCAGAGCAGTTCAGGAGGCGGGCATTTCTCCCACTTCCATTTGCTTCCTTTCGGTTGGCCGTGTGTTGATTACTCAAGTAGCCAGAAACCCCCCAGATTTCTGAACTTGTTTAAAGTGTAACAATAAAGTGAAATAGAATGAATCAAAGAGATTCTGGCCATCTTAACGTAGAGTTTTTCTGACTTTGTTAGCACTAGGACTTGACATTTCCACAGAGTCTTACTGAGCATGTTACCAAGTTGCAGTTTCAGGTACAAATGGGGAAAAAAAAGTCTTTGTATTCATGCAGAAAATATTTCTGATAGAAACAATTGCTCCAGTTTGTTTATAAAATTAATGGGTCTTGAAAAGTTAAAAGGACTTATAAAGAGAAACAACTTCTGTATTCCAAAATTTACTGGCAAAAATTTGCATTCTTCGGTATTTATCCTAGCCCGCTCCCCATTAACATTCCCAGTATTTTTTCTCTTTATGCAGAGACACTTGTATGAAAGCTATTAAAGTTTTAAAGACCTAAAATTAAAACCAAAGTCATGCCATGACCTATACTCATCTACAAAAAATAGGAACACTTTCCTCATCCTGAAATTATACTTTAGTACATGTTTCTTATTTATGTCTTTGAAAGTTAATAATATGCAAAGTATATTTAAATCCTAAGTATAAATGCGTATTAGAACTTCCTCAAATGTAGCTTGTTCACCTGGGAAGAATGCTATCTTTTTCTAAAGCACCTCCAGGATCCATCTGTTTCGAACTTCTCTGGAAGGACAGAAACTTAATCTCTTATCTCCCTACTTTTCCTTTAAGCTTCTCTTCTTTGTCTTTAGCTGAGGATGTAGAAACCTGAAGAGGATATGGATTTGGAGTTGTTGATGGGGGAGGGGGGGGGAAGGCAGGCCACATAGGGGGCTGGAGGGAAGTGAGGTGGTTAATTAAACAGCTAGAAACCCAGAAGTTCAAAGTAGGAATACCAAATGTGGAATTTATTATTAATAGGATTTTAAATTATTTTTGATTGTGAAGATATTCAGCAGTTCACTATGACATACACATGGTTGTAACTTTCAGTACTTCTGTATTTCATATTTAGGAAACGGGTAATTTGTTTTTTTGGAGGGTTATGTTGCTTAAAAAACAACTATATTTTGACCATATACTGCCCTTTCATATTCTTATTTTAAACTTTTAGAAAATGACTTAGAGGGGCACCTGGGTGGGTCATGATCTTAAGTTGTGAGTTCAAGCCCCGCATCAGGCTCCATTCTGGGCGTGGAGTCTGCTTGAGATTCTTTCTCTCCCACTCCCCCTCCCCACGCACATATGCTCTCTCTCTAAAAAAATAAAAACAAAAAACTTAGAAATGATACTATATTATTGGGTTCTGCATTTATCCATGCCTAGTTATATAAAACATTATTTCCTCATTATTATCAGTGCTTTTGAGATCAGCAAAAACATACAACTAAGACCAATCATCAAACCTGCCATTATAAATTTTTTTTTATAGTTTTTATAGTTTTAGCACAGACTCCTAAGACTTGTCCCTGCTCCTGCCAATTTTACAGAAAGAATTCTAAAAGAGAAAATTTACTCTGTAGAGACTTCCAAAATGTTTTCCCTTTCAAAATTTGGCTGATTTTAGAAAGGAAAAAAAAAAAAGTAATAATCTGAAACTCAAAAGACTTGATCTTGCTTGGTTAGGTTCCATAATAAAAGAGCAAAGTGGGGCACCTGGGTGGCTCAGTTGGTTAAGCTTCGGACTCTTGATCTCAGCTCAGGTGTTGATCTCAGGGTTGTGAGTAGGAGTGTGGAGCCTACTTAAAACAAACAAAAAAAACCCAAAGTAGCTGAAGTATTTATAGTAAAACTTAGATCTCAGAATATTATATTCATGTACAAGATTACACATATGCAGTTTTCAGTCCGATGGAATGAATTAAACAGGTCCTATGATACTGAAAAAGCTCCACTGTAATAGACTGTTACGGAGAGTTCTTTGCTGTAATAATATAAAGTTATAAAGTATAAAAGATGCTAAATTCTATAAAATGTATATTTCATAACATGTTTGGTACAAAAAGTTCTAGAAGTCTGAAGTTCTAAAAGTTCTACAAACTTAGAAAATGAAAAATACTAATATTCATAAGGATTTAGACCAAGAAACATTACCCTAATCTTTCAAAGTAAATCCTTTTTAATTTCTGAGCAGTGTTACTATTGCAATAAAGTGAGCTGGTGGGCCTGAATTTTTTTGTTCAATCCAGACACTTGAGAGGAACAGAGTAGAGTCAGAACTCTGCTTTCTATCTCATCATCCTAATTCTGCTAAAACTCAGCAAATTCTCACATTCAAAAGGTTCTAGCATTTGAGGCCAACAATATATAAGAAGGGGAGCAATTATTCCCCTTTACAGAGACTCTGAATCAGATACTATTGTAACATACCCATGGATCTTCCAGAAACATTTTAGTTCAATTGTATTGCAGTAGATACTCTTGGTATCCATCCATTCTAGCAACAACAAACCACCCAGATTGATACTTTATTCAAAATTTATAAATTTCTTTGATCACAGTTGCAATCCTTAGTCTACAGTCCTACTAAGAGACTTGTAATGTCCACTTGAGATTGCATAGTGCTTGCATTAAGCTTCAAATTCTATTCATGAACAGAAGCAGGACCTCATTTGTACTACCTGATCTACAGTATCTGTTTATACGTGTTTGCAGAAGATCCCATGGGCTCTGCCCAAGTATGGAGCAAACCTTAACTCTTAGCTTCAACTTTCTACACTTTTAAAGTAAATGTATACTTAGTTGTAAAGTAAACACAGCTTTGTTTTTCCTGCTCCTAATTCTAATCCTTTTAACTGCACTGAAGAATATTTTAATTTCTACCTTTGTTATTTATAAAGCACTTTATGTCCAGATGACTTCTGTTGTTAAATCAAGAGAAAACTGAATAGAAAATGCAGCGATCAGGGGCAGGCCAGTCCAGCGTGGGTGGCACTGAGTGGGGGCTTCCGGCAGCGCACTTTCCCACTCTTGCTTAGGCCTCTTTGCTTGCTCTTCCTGGTCTCTTTCCCCATATCATTCTTTTTCTCTTTACTTGCCCCTATCCTCCAAAAGCCTGCTGAGGAGTCCATCAACATCCTTGCCTAGTTCCCCTGGCTGCTTAGCTGCCCTACTTACTGGTGGTCCCTGTGGCTTCAGAGAATGGAAGCCCAGGCTATGTCATGTAACCTGGTGAACAGCTTGCTCTCAGCCTTGAACTTAGAGTTCTATTGGTCGACACTGAAAACATTATTTAATTATGCGATTAAAATCTGGGAAGGAAGTAATATGTTTCATATAACTGGCATCTTTTGTGCTAATATGTTAAACTTTATTTAAATGTTTAAGGTCATGCTTTCAGAGAAAAGACTGTCAAGTTCTTAACATGAGTATTTTCAGAGGGCATAATTTTTTACTTTGATTTTCATATTCTATTAAAATTTTGCTAAAACTTAGTCCTGAGAGCACATCGTGGGGGATGCTTTGGAATGTAGTGGGCCCCTCAGATGCGGTTCCTCATGAATCTGCCTTAGGCTGCGTTATACTTTATGGTGAATGGTGTTGGAGTAAATTCCCAGAGTCTAGAGATACAAGTAGAAAGGATAAGTTAATTAGCTCCAATTAAAAAATATGTAAACAATTTAAGTTTTAAACTCCTTAGGGAATTTCGAACACCGAAAACTTCATTGTTGCTGGCATAACATTAAGGAGCAATTTTTCCATTAGGCTGAAAATTGTTGCTTTTCCCAATGTGTGAAAAGGAGAAGGAAGTGAAATGTTCTTATTTTACATTTATATTCTTTAACTGAAAGACAAGTAGTATCTTGGCTAATAGAAAAAGTGTCATCATCATAGTTTAATTAACTCTTAAAACCACAAAATTTTTACCTTGTGACTAAAACAGAAGAACAAGTTTACCATTTGTGATGGTGATGTGGATTAATGTGGAATACGAACACAGCAGAGAAGGAAGTCTTGCTACTCTACTTGACTGACAATCATTAATTCTGCTCGTTTTACACTCACTGATTTTTGTTGATACTTAGGTGTAAAGGAAATAAAAAGACCATCTGGAGCTGAGTTTGAGAATGGTTCGTGGGGCAAAGAATAACAAGGCGGAAAGCAACAATAGACAGCTCATGGGCTCACTATAATTTTATAGCCACAGCCCTTTTTATCAGTTGATTTGTTGGCAGACATTAATGCTTTGTTTTATAAATACGCTATAGAGTGATAAGTTACAATCTCAAAAATAGAGGGCCAAATGCCCATAGCAAATGTGAAACCCACATACAACTTAAACAACCACAGTTACTGAACTTAAATAAATGTGGACTTAATCAGATGACTTTAGATGACTCCTTCTGAGACAGTAAAGACCCATGAAACAATTCATTGCCACATGTTTGAATCACTCAAAACCTTGAAACTTGGGATCTAGTTTACTTAGCTTGCCCTTTTTAAAATTACCAATTTTTCAATAATGAACATTAATCATCTTGACCTCTATACATTCAAGGAAATATCCCACGGTACTATTTTCTTGACATATAATATAGGAGGCTACCTCATTTACAAAACAGCAGATTTCAATTTTTTGTTAGTGTGTTAGACATTGGGAATGAAATAAACCTTTCTAAGTACTTGATCATGACAGTCCACCTACCTCAGCTTTCAGTGTCCAACTAAAAGCCCAGCTTAATCAATTCTTGCTTAATCAGAAGGGAGCTAGCAGTGACTCTGAGATTAAAAGGCAAGGGAGTGCAAGGAGTAAAGGGGCCAAAATATCAGTAAAATTTAAGTGCTTTGTTCTGATAAGATATAAGAGGAACAAAAAAGGAGTATTAACTAATGTGGCCTGTGGATAATCTGAAGCAGGAAAACTGAAGAAATTTACAATCTATATATAATAATGGACACTTACTAAAGTGTTTCACCAGTGGCTTTTCAAACTATACTGGCAGCTTGACGATGAAGTCTTGTTTTCTTTGGCAGGAAAATGGATAATCACTGACAACAGATTACATGCTTGTGCCTTAACCTCACAGCTTTGTGAAACTCCTGCAAGAGGCACCCCTTTCCTAGTGGAACAGGGACTGTGGCAACGAACTTTGGTCTCCCTGCAGTTTTAAAAAATGCTGTCGTTGAGTATGGCAGCAGGTGTAGGAGCTAACCCACAAGTTCCCAATCTAATGGAAGATGTTTCTGGCCTTTCAGTATTTTGGAGTTGAATGCCACTAACCATGTGTGCGGTAGGAACTATCAGTATAAAATAACTTTTGGAAATCTAATGAAATCTGTGACACTATTTTGGAAACTCTGATATATGACTTTTATTCTTTACCAAATAATACTTTTTAGTATCTGTCCATTATTAGAAGAGGCAATTTGTTAAATATTTTAAATGTGGGTAAACACACAAACATTTTCTGTTATGATCTTCCCTAAATGTAGTCTTCTATAGTATATTCTCATATACTAGAAAGTTAATGGGTCAAAGTATCTTTCATAATTCAGTCTATATTGGAATAGTATTTCAGGGACTGAGGGTTGTATGAGTGCTTTTTTCTTTTTTTTTTTTGACCCCATTGCAATGAGCAGACTATATATTTGGTGCCTTTCTTTCCTACCAAAGAAAAATTAGGTCAAAATTGGTGCTAAATTTCATGTTCTTTTCAAAATTATCTCTTCTTTTTAAATATATTTATCACAATAGGAAATGTGTAGATCCAGCAGTATTATGCATGTTGTATTCTGTATATACATCTAAGGAAAAAAAACCCTCACCTAAAAAGCAATTGAGTTCTGATACCTATTTACAGGCATATAATTTTCATTGACACGTAGGCTTTAAAGTATGAAACTGATAAGAAAATGATCACCAAATGAAAACTTAGTAATGAATATACCCCCCAAAGGTAGTAACTTTAAGGAAAAAGTCCCATACAATGTTATATGTCAGTTATATCTCAATTAAAAAATAAAAATAAAAAAGTCCCTGTCAATGTTTCTAGCACAAAGTTAGCTATTCAAAGTATTTTGTAACTCTGAGGGTTTATAAAAAGTTTTATATATATTTTATTGTATATATATTTACATATGTACAAAATAGCTTTTTAATGAGCTTGTTTAAGTGGATATTTTAAGCTATTTTTCAGGCTAAAATTAAGAGGGGAGTTATCAGTCTTAAAACTTGGATAATGAGTTACATTAAAAAAATTCTCACCAAAAGTATCAGTGTTCATCTTTCGGATTTAACATAAAGACAAATTAGTAAAGACTACATCTGGGTCAGTGTGAGCAAATCTCAGACCTATGGTTTATTCGGGGTTCTCAGCATCATGGTTGTGGCTGACTGTATGACACCCACCTAAAATCCCATGTGCGTCTCTGAGTCTTAATGTCTTGTGAGTAGGATTCCGATGAAGTGAGGAGGACAACAGGGTTTTATTTAATCCTGCTTTTATAGACTGCCTTAACTCTATGAGGATTTTATAAATATAAGTTAGAAAAATGATACACTCTAGGAAATTAGGAAAACAATACACTTAGAATCTACTAGAGTATACTGGATTCTCTGTTAACTAATGATAACTCCTTACTACTGTTAACAGGAGTTATGTGTGGAAGGGAGAATGGGGGCTGGTTAATCAGAAGTTACTGTACAGTGAGATGAAATATCCCTTTACTAACTTCTGATGTAATTTAATTTATGTGGTTTGAGAACTGTAAGATTCCAAAGGCACTGTGCAATGCTTGATAAATTTGCATTTTGTCAGTTTGTTCTCCTTTCAGTTTATTTTAGCCTGAAAATTATAGCTACAACAAACAGAATCCTACAGTATTAAGAGAGCGTGGATATTTTAAGTATCTCCTCATATAACATGACATTTTCCATGTCAACTTATTTTAATGTTTATCTGAAAAGTAACTTTAAATTATTTGCATATTTTCAAAGTTAGAAAAACATGCTATATCTTAGACATCAAAACCAAACTATTCCCAGGGCCGCTGTATACTGCAGAGCGGCTCTGGTCTCTGCCTGCACAGGATGCCATTTTGGGCACAACAGTTGCTTAAATATAGATCACTGTGTGAAATAATTTTGCTGGGTTTGATCAGTATGCAGTATTTTAGTACTTGCCTTTAAAAATTGTTTTTCTCTTTTTAAAGAGTGTAATTTATAACTGATTTTTTTATAATGTGCAATTTCCTATAGATAACCAAAACCTTTTTAATCGAAAGAGCTTTGTAATCATTTGGAGAATAAAATCATTTTACTGTGGAACAATGTGGTATTCTCAGTAAAGACAATAAAAAAATGTTAGCAAATTTCTATGAGGCTCTGTGGTTATATTTATGGAATTGCCTGGGGAGATGAGGGAAGGGAAAATTACTGAAGTGAAGGAAACCGTCTGTGTTGAATGAAAGAAAAATAAGCTGTGTGCTTTTAAGCTGCATACATGTATTCCAAATGTGCTTGGGTATCATTATCTCTCCTGGGCAAGTGACAGGGATAGAAATGATCCCAAAGCACTGGAGAGTCCAAAAACGATTTCTATTTGACACTCTTTTTTTGTAGCTTGACTTACATTACTGTTTTACTTAGACTGATTAAATTTATTGCATTCAGCTGTTACTTGGGACCTCTGACTCACTGACAGTTTCAGGGATGATCAAGAACCAGGCTGGAATTTTGGTGGATACTCACTGAGAGAAAAACTGACTCTGCAGTCAGAGGATGTTTATTACTGGATGTGCCCTAACCACAAAGCAAATCATTATTTTCATTTAATGGTGCTAAAGAGATTTTATACATTAAACTCGAATATGGAATTGTGATATATCATTTATTCCAATAATTATTATTTTATTTTTAAAAAGATTTTATTTATTTGAGAGACAGCGAGCGTGAGTGGAGTGGGGCAGGGTGCAGAGGCAGAGGGAGAAGCAGACTCCCAGCTGAGCAGGAGCCCGATGCGGGGCTCGATCCCAGGACCCCAGGATCATGACCTGAGCGGAAGACAGATGCTTAACCAACCCAGCCACCCAAGGGCCCCAACTCCAGTAATTATTTACATGACTGCACATAGGTGCAAAAATGTGCAGGCCACTGGAGGGCTTTTTAGAGAACCAGGAGAGAATGGATATGAGAAATTGTTACTGATCCTCAGCGGGATAAAATTCTCTCTCCTGGGAAAATAATTTTTATAGGAAAAAATAAAAGAATTCTACTGTATACAGGAAACCTAATTTTTCTAGAGACATAGCTCAAATTAAATAATTACAGTATCAGACTTAACACAGAAAGCTCTCAAATCTCCAACTAATGAATCTAAATGAGTTATTTTTTTAAATACTTGGTCACAAGTGTCTTCTTGAACTCTTTCAGGGATAGGAAGCTCACTTTTCCTACCCCAAATAGTGGTTTCCTCCATGGCTGGGCCCTTTACTTCCCACGCTCATGCCATTCAGCTGAACCACCTGTCCTTGACGCAGGCATCTGTGGACCTCCCTGGTCCCTCTTGTACTTCTGTCAGTTACTCCAGCAAATGGCTTTTGGTCCAATGTTCAATGTTCATGGGGAGCAACTTTATTTCCACTCACACTCAACAGCAACACCTGGAACCTTGTCATCTCTGGAAATGGTTTCATCTTTGAAATCTTTAATATCATCCTTCTCTTTTATCCGTGACTTAGGATCACTTTATTCCCTCTTTCTCACGTCCATTTGGCCTGCTCTTCAACTCTGAGCTCTTCTTTCGGTTGACTCCATCCCTCTCAATCCCCACTCCCTTCCAGCCTACCAGATCTGTTCCCTCTTCACACTGTTCCCTACCCTTACTCCTGGGATCTAAAAAAATCCAAACAGCTCTCTGAATATTCAGCTCACTAGTTGCCCCTACATATCCCACCCTGCAAATTAAACACTTCTAGCTTCCTCAACTGGATCATTTCCATCAGCATATATACATGCTATTATTTCTCCCATCTTGGGGGAGAAAATACCTCTTTTGAACCCATGTGTCCCCTGCAGCTACTGTCTCATTTCTTTTCATCCATTTAGAAGAAGCCAAGGAGAAAAAGAAAACTTTGAGAAAATTTCTACTCACTCTCTTCAATTTTATCTCCTATTCTCCTTGGAGTCCTCTCCATTAGGATTTTGTCCCTACCACTCCGCTGAAACTGCCCTTCTCAAGATTACCACTGACCACCATATCGCTAAATCAAATTGTCATTTTTCAGTCCTCGTTGTATTCGAATGATCAAGAGCGGTACAGTGGGCATCAATTTCTGATCCCTGAATCAGGCTTCCAGTGCCAACACATCTACCTGGTCTTCTTCCTTGCTAGCCACTCCGTCCCAGTTTTCAGTGTTGGCTCAGTCTCCCGGCTCTAAACACTGGGAGTACATCACAGCTTCTCTGTTCTACCTACATGCTCCCCCTCAGTGACCCTCTGGCTCGTGAATGGAGTTGCTACGTACATCAGCAATGGAGAACATACCTCACCCTTCAACTTCAGACCCATAGATCCAACTGCCAACCTAACACCTCTAAATCGGATGACTAAAAAGAATCTCCCAATTTAACATATCCCAAACTGAGCTCCCTATATTCCCTCCAAAATTTGCTTCTTTTGCAGCTCTCCTCACTCCAGTGAATGGCAACTTTATTTTTCTGGTTGTACAAACCAAAAACCTTGGAGTTATCCTCACCGCCTCTCTCCTGCTCTAACACCCACTTCTGGTCTGCCAGCAAGTCCTATGGGCTCTACCTCCAAAATATGTCCAGAGTTGGCACTTCTCACTACTGCCACTCGCTACCATGCCGAACCACGCCCTCATGATTGTTTCGTCCGTTGTTCCCTTCCCTTGCTCCCCCTTCTGTCTATTCTCTACAGAACAGCCACCACACCCAGTCAAAACGTGTCAGGTGAAGTCAGTCCTCTGCTCAGAATCTTCCTGTGGCTACCTACCTCAGGGAAAGCCGAGAAGCCAATACCACACTATATGTTCACTAACTTGAATTTAAAAAAAAAAAAAAAGTTAAAAATAAATAAATACAAATAAAAACAATGACTTTGCAGGAAGAAAGGAAGAAAGAAAGAAAGAGAAAGAAAGAAAGGAAAAGAAAGAAAAAAAGAAAGAAGAAAAAAAGAAAGAAAAAGAAAAAGCCGAAGTCATGCTGTGACCAGCAAAGCTCCGCCTGTTCTGGCGCCGGTCACGTCTCTGATGGTACGTCCTGCTCTCTCCTCCTGAACCACCTGCCTCCCTCCACTCCCATCCCCTCACTGCTCTGCCCCCAGCTCTCTACCTGGATTGCTCTGTCATGTCCTTTAGGACTTTGCTAAAAAGTCGTCTTGGTGAGGCCTCCCCTAACCATTTAAAATTTAATCTCCCCTCCCTGACACTTCCCTATCCCACTCCCAAGGTCATTTTTTTCTCCTTAGCTAGCAGTTATTACTAGCAATTTATATATTTATCTTCTTTATTGTCTGGCTTTTCCACTAGACTGTAAGTTCAACAAGGGTAGGGGTTGTTTGTTTATTTTGTAGAAGTAAACCATAATTTCATTATCTAATTTTTTTGAGAGAGAGAGAGAGTGCGGGGGGAGGAGCAGAGGGAGAGAGAGAATCTTAAGCAGGCTCTGCCCAGTGCCGAGCCTGACACAGGGCTTGATCTCACGGCCCTGAGATCATGACCTGAGCAGCAATCAGGAGTCAGAGCTCTACTGACTGAGCCACCCAGGCGCCCCAAAGTTAGGGTTTTTGTCTGTTTTATCTCCAGCGCTTAGAAAAATGCCTGGCATAGAGAAGGTGCTCAATAATTATTTGTTGAATAAATGGTTTCCAAACATGTCAACACTAGCATATTGACTTCCTCCATCTTGGGAACATTTCCTTAGAGAACTCAGCCAGTACAGCGGGGGTGAATTGGCCATAGCAGGATCAGGACTGGGGAGAGCGTGGCTGGCATGGCTGGCCCAGGGCCAAGGAGAGGGCCCACAGAGTCAGGAGACTGATTCCACAGATGGAGCTTAAACAGAGAAGTGAATATACTGAGGTTTCCACTGTTGGAGAAGGGAGGCTAGAACAGATGCTATGGTGATGGACTGGAATTGGAAAATGTGGTATGAATATGTGTGTATGTGCACACATGTGCGGGACTTGGAGGTATATATGTGTCTGTACGTATCGTTCCTAGCTCTGCCCCCTAAGAGGGCCTAGAAGCAGTGACCTTCCAGGAGCAATGACTGTCTCTTCATACTCAACCTTGTAACACAGAGACTCAGATGGTAGATACTTGGTTTAGAGTGAAGTCCCTGTATTTTAAATCTAATACAATGCTAGCATAATGGAGCTGAAGGGGACACTCATGGAAATCCTACAGTACCTTCTAATTTTATAGGAAGACAAAAGCTTGTCTTAAGATATTAAACAAGAAGAAAATACCCGCCCCCATCCCTCACTCAGAGATAATGAATTGCCTTTATCATTATCCCTTAAGACTTATGTATGGAGATGTTTTATAAAAGTGGGGAAATACTTGGGGTGCCTGGGTGGCTCAGTCAGTTAAGCATCTGCCTTCGGCTCAGGTCATGATCTCAGGGTCCTGGGATCGAGCCCCGCATCAGGCTCCCTGCTCAGAGGAGAGTCTGCTTCTCCCTCTCCCTCTGACTCTCCTCCCCACTTGTGTTCTCTCTCTGTCTCAAATTTAAAAAAGTTTTTTTAAAAAGTAACGAAATACTAAATACGCTATTTTGCAACATGCTTTTTTCATGTAGGACTTGTAAATATCTTTTCATGTTGTATTTATCCTGACTTTTGTTGTTCACCAACAACAAAAACTGTGGGCACCTGGGTGGCTCAGTCGTTAAGTGCCTGCCTTCGGCTCAGGTCATGGTATCAGGGTCCTGGGATCGAGTCTCGCATCGGGCTCCCTGCTCAGCAGGGGGCCTGCTTCTCCCTCTCCCACTCCCCCTGCTTGTGTTCCCTCTCTCGCTGTGTCTCTCTCTGTCAAATAAATAAAAATCTTTTTTTTTTTTTAAATATTTACTGATTGGTGATGGGTATTAAAGAGGGCACGTACTGAATGGAGCACTGGGTGTTATAAATAAAAACCTTAACAACAACAAAAACTGCTTTAAGCAAAAGAGTGAGAAGTTCATGTATCATGTGACATCAGACATGGTAGAATCTAGGGTCAAATCATGTCATCATTGAGTTCGAGCCCCATATGTGGTGTGGAGTTTCCTTAAAAAAAAAAAAAGTGTCGCTATGACCACTTTAATATAAATTTTCTTCTATATTTCTGATAATTTTCTTAAACTGAGTTTCCCAGAACGG